AAGACCAAAAACTTTGAGAGAAGGACTTAGGAATGTAATAGCCAAAAATAGGTTTGTGGCCTTGCCGCTATCGCCGTCTGAGTTGTTGTTCCCCTCACGGCCTGAAGATCTACCGTCGGACCGTAGCTGCGCCGTAGCTGCTAGCTTGTAACGTGGTCGTCACGAAGTCATTGAGACTGGTTTTGAATCCTTTGGAAACGATGTTATCACAGCAAGCTGCAATGCCGACCATGTGCTGTTGGGTGTGACGTTTCACATCAACTTGATCCTTTTTGCATCTTCTTGCCCTCTAATCAAAAAGAAGTGCTCTTAGGTTGGAGGCCATCGCTACTAGGTTGGAGGCCTCTAATCAGGAAATATCAGGACATGCTTCCTGCGTACTCAAAATGCAGTGCTTGGACATTTCGGTGTCCGGGGCCCATTGTGGCAACTGGCTTTGCCTCTGTTTCCCGAGCTTCGGCATTTTCAGCAAGTGCAAACTAACTTGAAGCCGCTCCACTCCCTACTGCTTCATTACGTAGGGGCCTATTTAAAAAGGGGCCAACTAGCTCCCAGCTACTGGATGCAGGATGATAGCTCGCGCTTCCTCGAAGAAGTGCTCGCACTAGTCATTTAGGGAAACTTAAGTGCATATCGAAACTTAAGCACATACAATGTTTTGCTTCTACCTTAGAATATGGTAGCTCCATCGTGCTGAAGAGAACAGCTACCAAGCACAGGTGCGCCTTCGAGAGGAGGCAGAACGACAGAAGCGGGAGGAAGAGGCCAGGGATATACCATGGATGTGAAACAGCGATGCACTTGTTCCTAGTAGCTTCTTGTTACTACTAGTAAGGCACTTGTCACTAGAAGCGATGCACTTGTTCCTAGTAGATGGGATATACCAAGGTCGAGTGGCCAAAGTCGACCGGTGACACGGTTGATCTCTTGTGCGACCATCCTGGACGCCTCCGCAACACGCGGGTCCCGAATCGTTTTTCCCTGGGATCCTCACACTTCGGAAGGCTTTCAGCCAAAACAGTCCAGTTATTGCGCCGTGAACATCCCTTGACGACTAGTAACCTAAACGGTAGCGATGCCTACTAGTTACTAGTAGCTTCTTGCTCCGTTCGTAGCGATGCCAGGAGCCGCGTTCGTAGCGTCCGATCGCTCCGTTCGCAGCGTCCGATCGCTCCAAAACGCAGTCAACATCCCTTGACGACGTCACCAGTGGAGGCACGGATCGCCCAGCAGGAGGAGATCAGACGGATGGAGGAAGAGCAGCGCAGGCATGGGACAAGTTTTGTTTCATGGTCAAAAGAATACAGAACCGTTTTTGAACATGGAAGAACAAAGAAACAACCACATTTTAATTGAAACATGTTTGCAAAAAAACGGAAACACCTAAAGCGGGTCTGAGTGGTGAGCTGAGTCCAAGACCGTGAATGCCTTTAAATGTGTTCTTGTTCAATTGACTTTCCTGGAGCCTTTGAGGAGTAACACTGAGTTATTGACGACAGTACAGTAAAAGAGTGTTTTTTCTACGAGACATGGATGATCGATTGAAGAAGAATGGCCAGCAACCACAGTCCCTACAATGACGTGCTATGACATGCTATGACTGCAGTCAGTTGCAGAGTGCGGATCAGCTGCCACGATCTGCCAGGGGCGAGTCTCAGGAGATCCAGGCAAACCCGGGACGAGACTTACGAAACGACGAAACGATGTTGCCCAAGCAAGAGTGCTCTTGGGGACCTTATGTTTTTGATTGTTTTTGATTTATAGGATTTATATGGTTTCATATTCTAGGACGTTATACATGAAAAGGGGCCCATCCCAGAACTTGTCTATCTACCTGAATCACACACAGAGCGATCACGATGGTGTGTGTGTGCACACGAAACATAAAGGACTGGGTAAGCTCACATGTTGTACACCAAACGAACGTTTGCTTCAGCCATGTTCCTTCATGTTCCTTCTGTTTGTTCCTTTGTTTGCATGTGCACCGTTGTGCTCCTCTCATGGTGCCTAGCTACTGCATGAAGCGGCTGCAGCAATGCTCACTCCCGGTCACTTCCCTCGCCAGGACATGTCTCCACCCGCTGTCACTCTACCGCCCTCGCAGACGGTGGCTTGGACCTGTTTCGTCAAAGATGCAGAACGGTCCTCTGTGGTCATCGATGTTGAAGTTTGAGGAAAACTGGAGGCCATCGCTCTTAGGTTGGCCATTGCTATTGGAGGTGGTGAGGTGTAACATAGTGAGTGATGGTGACATGGTGACGCAACAAAGCGGCCAAGAGCAGGAGCTGGAGGCCACTGATGAAAGTTGAGTTATTCCTTTCCTGTGTTGATGATGAAAGTTTGCCAAGCGGGTGTGTTGATGATGTTGAGTTCTTCCTTTTCCTCGTTTCTATATAAAAGCGGTGGCCTTCAACCCAAGAGCGATGGCCTCCAACCTGGCGATGGCCTCGGGTGCTGTTAATGTTTACATTGGAATCATTGGACATTCTTCATTCTAAAGAAGAGACGTACACATGCAGAGATGCCTGAATGACCGATTTGCACGGAGGGTGTTAATGCCAAAGAAGTTGGTTGAACTCAGACAATTTCTGGAAAGGTGCTGACCACATCACCAGCTCTGAACAGCAACAGTTATCCAATTTCTTCTGACTTTGGTGCGATCAAGTACTCCTTCGGGGAACTACCAGATCTGAAGAAATGCAGAACGTATGTGGTAGAATGCCGTTGTGTGCCAATTCTATTGTCGTCAAGAATTGCTCGGTTTGGTTCAAGTTCCCTGTTGCTGCATAGCGGGTGGAATAAACAGAAAGACAAAACCTACGATTGAACAGAGATCAAGAGAATCAAGGCCGTATCAGAAGAGCTAGTACGATTTCCAGATTAGGACAGAATCCAGATTTACGTTACGAATGCCGTAGGCATATTTTCTGGTACGAACGGTCCTCTAGGTATTGATGAGGTTCAGTTCTGCTTTGCCTAGACACAGCAAAGCAACAAAACCTTGAGTGCCTAGCTTCTTGTTACTACTAGTAAGGCACTTGTTCCTAGTAGCTTCCTACCCCCCCCCCCGCAGGCGCCTGCTTTTCACCTGCTAGGTGGCACAAGACACCACAAACGTTGCGAGTGACGTGCCCTCACCTTCGAAGCAGGCCGAATCAACGTGTGTGGTGAGCGTGGTGGCGCTTTTCCCCAAAACAGTTTACTGTTGGGGTTCGTTTCTTAGACAGAAAGGGCTGCCCTTCACAAATATCACCTGGATTAGTCACTGCTCCGTGCTCTCCCTTCTTGTTGTTACCTCGGCCGCTAGTAGGTTGGAGGCCATCGCCAGTAGCCGCAAGATGCAGAAAAAGGGCTTTGCTCCTAGTAGCGGTGCACTTAGCTACTAGTTTCTTGTTGCTAGTAGTAAGGCCAGGAGCGCCCCTAATAGCTTCTTGCTACTGGTATTGATGTCCTTTGTTCCTAGTAGCGCCCTTTCATCACCTTGTCCGGGCCTTGTCCGCCGTAGTCCTGTGGGGTTCGGGGCCCTTTTTGGTTTACATCCGGTTCCCAAAGAGCTAGGAATATATAGGAACATAATATACTAATGTAACTACTAATGTATAATATGATTTGCAAAGGTTCTTTTTTCATCCTTTCTTTTTTGCTTTGTTTCTACTGGCAATGGCCTCCAACCTACTAGCGATGGCCTCCAACATGGAATATGCAAACGTTTCCACCAACATTGGAGTTCAAGGAATTGAGGCGGGTCGGTGGTATATTTTCTGTAGTGAGCAATGTGGTGCGCCGGCGGGGGTAGTCTGACATGTTCAGTCGTTTGTTGCCGCTGTGCGTTAGACGGCCAGCCTCCACATCCGTGCCAAACGAAGTGGGCATTGAAGCATTAGTAACAAGGGGCATCACTACGAACGGAGCAAGAAGCAACTAGTAGCTCCTGGCATTACTGCTGGTAACAAGAAGCTATCAGTAACAAGGGGCATTCCAGCCGCTTTTGCAGGAGGCAGATCAGGCAACTGGGCCCCCTACTGAGACTGTCCGGGTGCACATTCAGGATGTTTCAGATGTCACTTGGACTATGTTTGGACATGCTTGACATTGTTTGGCTGAACTGGTGTGGCTTTGAATCAGTTTGGCGATTCAGCTTGGGATTGAGGAGAAACCAGTGTCGCCAGCTGCTGCAAACTCCCCAGAATCGTTGGAAGTTCCACAGACTGTGTCACTGGACCTTGGATTCTCCAAATCTGAAGCAGGAGAGAAGATCCGCTACTAGGGTGGAGGCATGTGGAGGCCATTGCTACTAGGTTATTAGCTTGGAAGCCATCGCTAGAAGGTTGGAGGCCATCGCTACTAGGTTGGAGGCCATTCTCCCAAATTCAGTCGAAACACGTCAAGCTTTGTGTGCTCATTGCATCAACATAACATATTATGTTCAGTGAAGACTATGAACATTTTACGAGCACTTTATGATCCTACATTATGACGTGAGAGCTTTTTTTGATAAGTAGGAGAACCCAAGAAGAGCTCAGGAAGACTCGAGAACTCGTAGACGACCATCGCGCTTCTCTGTTTTGCAGGATCGCCGATCAAGCGACCTTTGACTCAGAGAAGTATGGTTGACTCGCCAAAGACCGAGCAAAAGCCCAAAGAGTGGACCGAGGAGGAGATGGTTGCAGGAAGCTCATCAAAGTGAGTTCGAACTTTCAGATCTAAGGACACATGTTTTGCCTCAGGTATCGGATCCCAAACACCAACAACACAACGACCATGTTGGCATTGTTTGGGGGCTCCAGCTAGTTGGCTAGTGCGAAGGCGCATGCCAGCTAGGCGCTTTTTTTTCTTGTGACCACATGGTCAACCACTCGACCGCATCCTAAGGAAAGTGGTTGGTCGAAGCTGATGCGATCCTCATTTGCTGCGGCTCTGGCAGCGTGATTGCCCCACTGCAGGCTGCTGGAGGACGTGTCTATTCCAATGAAGAGGACTTCGCAAACCACTATCCGGCCATGCGTGATTGGGGTCACCCAGTCGGAGTTTTGCGTTTTGCTGGTATAGCTGGCGTCCAAAAGGCTCTTCACTCATGATTCATGACTCATTCATGACCTTTTGCTGCTAATATCAGGCTGGCCATGGCTGGTTGTTGCTGTGGTCGTCGGAATTGTTGTTAAGGGGCACGGCAGCTGTGATAGCGGTTTTGGTGCTTTGGGAATGGGTTGTTGTAATTAAGTTGTGCCAAAACAGTCGGAGTGCCCGCTCAAGGCTCAAGGGCAACCTTTTTAAGTCCGAGCTATCTTTGGAACTGGTGAGTCTTGACTTTGGTCTTGCTTTACTCCAGACAAGTCGTCTGTCGTGAGGTTATAAGACAGCGGCAGAGTGCAGTGAGATCTTGACGGATGGGAAATTGTCCATCTATGAACAGTGGGCGTTCTGGGCCGAACACATCGAAAAGGTCAACAGTTGGCCGATCGATGAAGACACCTTGGAGACATTGGGAGCAATCATTGGAGCACCTTGGAGCGCAATTTCTACGATGAAAAGGGTAGACATGGGTAGAGTTCTATATACATCATTCAAGCCAAGTTCTGTTTAAAGGGAACATGGGAGGAAGGTCTAAAAGCTTGCAATAGTTTGCAGGTCTAAAGAAAAGATACAAGAGATCCAAAGAAAGGTCTAAAGAGGGTACAGGAAAAACACAAACTCAAAGCTAAGACATAAAGCAATATTATAAAACACATACATATTGTGTTTTATACTTTATAGAGGCTCCTTGAAGTATCGTTACGATTTTGTGCACTGCAGATGTAATTTTTTTGGATGACAGCACATCAGGAGAAGGATTACTTTGTGTACTCTAGCAGCGCAGACTCATTCTTTGAGCGAGCTGGCTTTGATAGCCGTCGTGTGTATACCGCCGCTGGAAGTTGGGAGTACTACCAGTGTGCCAAAGCTTGCTCCAGCAGCGCTGTCTTTCCGGCAGTTCGAGCCATTCAACATATTCTCTCCAATTTGAGGGACTATGGTGTGCCTAGGTCCGAATCAAGATGTTTTCTGCTTTTCCACCCACGGTCCTAGCACCCAAGTTCTCAGGCTCTTCCCAGGCTCCAACCTACGCCTCCTCACTCTTCCGAGTTCGTTTGGGCCAGGTCGTCACCGGGGATTGTCTGCCCAAATGTTCCCACTGCGGTGGCGATTGCATGCCAAATGTGCGGCTCAGAGACTCGGCGCGAATCTGACTGCGCTTCACCAGAATAGCAGACGTGCGGCAGAGGTGTTTTCGGAACTTCCATTGCCTCACGGATTCTGCCATCCATGAGGTATGTGTTGATCAGCTCCCAGTTCAAGGAACCAAGAATATCCTGCAGACTAAACTTGCTGAAGGAAACGAGAACACAAGGACATTAGTGAATGGATCTTCACTATTTCCATCTTTCGACTGCCAAGACAGCAAAGCTTTTTTGACCAGCATTGCTCCCAGAGGCTGTCTAACTTGATTCCGAACGCCTGAGGTGATAATTTTTGTCACGAAAGATATGAACAAAGACTAGGGAGTTTGATCTCCTGGTTGGAAGGGGTGTCCTGGTCGCAGTTGAGCACTTGCTGGGCAGTAGCTTGGAGGCCATCGCTACTAGGTTGGAGGCCTGAAGCTTCTTTGACGCCCTCAGGGCGTCCTTGCATGTAGTGGCTTCTAGGTGCCAAACTACTAGTAACATGAAGCTACGTTCGGGGCTCCTGGCATCGCTACGAACGGAGCGATCGAACGCTACGAACGGTGCCAACGACTGGAAGTACCGCTCCACTGGACCTCATCTCCCAGTGACATTCGGTGATACCACTGGCTTTTGGTCGCCTCAGCTGAGGTCGCCGCCTCAAAGTCCAGGTTGGTGATCCTTGAGCTTGACACGTCCTTTAAGACGAATCGATTGGCGACTCCTGGAAGTGCACTGTGAGCAAACTAGCAAACTCCAAGAAACAATGCTGATTTGGGCACCTAGACATGGGCCGGGAAGGTATTGCTTAAAGAAAGTCACACAAAATAATCATCAGTGGTGGTTCACAGTGGTACCAAGACTTTCACAAGGCGTAGTTGGCGTAGTTTAAAGGTTTGGATCTCGACCTTCACAAACGACAAATCCGACCATATATCCAACCTTGCTACCTCTTGCTACATTGAATCAAACAACTCTTTGAAGTTGTCCTTGAATGCCTTGCTTGTTTTTGATTCATCACATTTAGATCACGTTGGATCTATCCACAACCTACTAGCGATGGCCTCCAAGCTAGTAGCGGCGATGGCCTCCACACAGCAACTCTTGTTTTCATTTCAGGACTTTTCCCATGGAGTCCATAGCAGCTGATCTCGGTGGTGCTTTGCTTCGCTTCAGCACCGAGAGGCCTGGACCAGAAGGACCAGAAGGACCAGTGGACCCATGCTGGCAGTGTGCTAGTTCACTGCTTGGAAGGTTCATGAAGGTTCAGATTCTCAAGCTAAATGGTCAGATTCTTTGGTGAGTCAAAGCAAAGAACGAGAATAGGTTGGAGGCCATCGCTCTTAGGTTGGAGGCCATTGAACATCTGAAGACTCAAAGCGTGACATGAAGTGTGATGACGTGTGATTTGAAGTGTGCTTTTTTGTTTCTTCCGAGATATCCCTGGGTGCCTGCGGTTCTCAACCGGGCTGTGGCTTTGCCAAAGAGCAGTTTCCAAGACTTGCCAGAGCTTCTCGCTGACAGCAGCCGTCACACAGCTGCAGCTGAAGAGCTCCCAAATCGGCTTGACATGTTCGACAAAATGCAAACGATACAGAGTTGGTACTTCTCTGGCAGAGCCGGTGAGCAGAAGCTTCAAAACATAAGCTTTAGAGAAGTGACACAGATTGGTGGTGATGGGAGGTGATGTATGATGTCGCGGTTTTGTGGTGAAGTGTGTTGTGGCAGTTTGAGATCAACATGCAATGTTTGATGTGGCGGTTTTTTTGTTTCCACTAGCTTCTTGTTACTAGTAGTAAGGCCCTTGTTCCTAGTAGCGATGCCCTTGCTCCTAGTAGCGTCCGATCGCTATTGGTATGGAGATTTGTGATGTGAAGCGTATTTGGGGCAACTTTTCTCGAAAAAGCGTGGCTGCTCTTGGCTAGACAGCTCTAGTCTGGGCTACTTTAGTCTAGAAATTTTTGTTCGCTTTTGCCTAGTGTTTGTTTTTCCCACCGCTCCACACTTTTCTCTGCAAATCACTACTTCTGGCTGCTCTTCTTTAAACAGCTCAACGCTTGGTTACCTTACTGTAGAAAGCTCTACTTTGGGCTTCTGTTCTCAAGAACTACCATGAACTCACTATTATCGGCCTCTTGTTGCGTGAAAGCATTACTTTTTGTACACTTCTCAAGAAGGCAGGATGCTTTTGCTACTTTTTGCCTTCCTCTAGAACGTTTGCTTTGGTAAGTCTTAGTTTGCTCGCAGCCCTGAGAATACATCTCACATCCTCTTTTTTCGCAAACATCGCATCAATCGCATGGCAATGCAAACCAGAACTCGCCGAAACTCCCCGAAACCGTCCCGCGCTAATCCCACACACATGCTCCCTTTTGCGCCGCCCTGACTGCTCTTTTACTTGCCGCCCATGCACACGCCAACTGCAACATCTCTTCAACGCTTCTGTTAATTAAACGGGCAGAACAATGGCCTCGAACCTACGAGCGATGGGCCTCCAACCTACGAGCGATGGCCTCGAACCTAGCGATGGGCATCCAACCTACTAGCGATGGGCCTCCAACCTGGGGGTGAACTGCGGCCTTTGCCACTCGTTAACTCTTGCTTTCTTTTGCCTTGTAGGAATTGTAGGATGCTCCCGAGGCCAGGCGCTTGGGTCAGCGGCGGAGAAAAGCCTCTTGCAAACGGCCATGGCGCGAAAGTCGCAACGACAAGAGCGCCAGATGTCTGTGGAGCCGATCCACTGGCGAAGTTGCTTGGAGAAGCGTCAGTGAGTTCATCACTTGAAACTTGCAAAAACAGGCTGATGAAAGGGTCCTAGTGTCAGATCAAACACAGCTGCATCATCCGATCATCCGTATCCATAAGATTCATCAGAACTGTTCTTGATCACTCCACAAGTTGGACCTGATCCAGCAAGCAGCTGTCGTGGAAGTGGCATTGAGCAGCTCAAAGCTCTATGTATTTTGAGTTGCTACAGTCCCGAACGAGAAAAGAAAGGAAGGACACACAAAGGCCGGTCTAAGAGTCTAAAGAAGAACTGAAACAGAAAAGAAAAGAAAAGACGGACATACTAAAAGCAAACAGATCAATTAAACTCGTTAACCCTTCCAGAGCAGCTCCCAACTATCTTCAGCCGATTTCAGGACTGCTCCAGCACCTGGGTGAAAGCATTTTCAACTGTGCCTACGAGCGGTCCATGTGAGTTGCCCGGCATCGATGTTGCCCTTCCCCAAAACGCAAAAAAGCTCCTAGTAGCATCCTGTTACTAGCACTTGTCACTACAGCACTTGTCACTACTAGCGTGGCACTTGTTCCTAGTAGCTTCTTGTTTCTACTAGTAAGGCACTTGTTACTAGAAGCGATGCCCTTTGCTCCTAGTAGCATCCTTCCTCCTAGTAGCGATG